ACTCGAGTACCAAACTGTTCTTCGTAACTGAAAAAGTGAAAAGTCCGGAAAAAATACAAGCAAAAAATCTGGAAAAAAACCAGCAGCTTTAGATTTTTGAGGTCAAAACTGAAGAATCAAAATGCTTGGCGAAAATACAAGCAAAAAATTTGGCAAAAAACCAGCAGCTTTAGATTTTTGAGGTCGAATTATAGACCAAACCCTACTGCGGCTCATTTTCCGCGGCAAAAAAAACAAGATGAGCTAGCAACAAAGATTGCCTTTATCTACAAATTTCAACGGGAATTTTAACGGGGTTTCCTGACTGTGATTGCATTTGCCTGCTACGATTTATACATCAAACAAGCCCGATGCAAATATCACATTTTTGACAAAAAAAAAAACAATTTCGAATTAACACACTAACTTACAGTATTCTTGAATTACGGTAATTTAATGAAATTTTATTTAATTACATAAATTTGAATAAAAAAATTTAAGTAAAAAAATTTGGATAAAAAAGACCTAAATCAAAATTGCGGATAAATTTAATCAAATTACATAAATTTAAATCCAAAAAATTTAAATCAAAAGGCAATACTCTACTTAACGCATTACTTTACAATGCATCTGAAGGACAGGTCACATAATCGGATTACTGTCAGCACCGGAAAAAATCATCACAGCAATCGGCAAGAACAACATTCCTGAGGTGCTGATTTGCCCCAACTGCTAGTCCCAAAAAATGAATAAATAAATAAATAAATATAATTAAAATATAAATCAGAAAATATACAAAGTTAAAAAATAGATCAAAAGCAAATCAAAAAAAAAAAAAAAATGGATAAATCACATAAATTTAGATTCAAAAAAAAATTTGGTTCAAAAAATACTACTTCATCGAAATCAACAAGAACAACATTCCTGGGGTTACTGATCTGCTTCAGCTGCTAATTCCAAAAAATAAACAAATAAGTAAAAATAATCAAAAAACAGATCAAAAAAAATATAAAGATAAATTAAAAAAATATAGCTAAGTTACCCAAATTTAGATTTAATAAAACTGAGATCAAAGAATACATCGAAATTTTAGTCCAAAGATACCGATTTCTTCCAAACGTTAGTTCGAAAAAAATAAATAAATACAATCAAAATATGGATCAAGAAAATATGTATATAAATTGGAAAAAAAAAGAGATAAATTAAACAAATTTAGGCCAAGAAAAATTAAATCAAAATGTACGGACAAATTTTATTGTAAACTAAAAATAAATCAAAACATAGATAAATACTGAGGTAATAAATAAGCAAAACTTACAAGAGCAGAACTTATCTAAAATCAAAATCCTTTTTTCTTTAATTAAAATTTCCAACTGCTAGTCATAAAAGGGTAGAACTTATCTACGGGTAGAACTTAAATGAGAAAATCGTAAAAAGGTAGAACTTATCTAAAATCAAAATTCTTTAATTAAAATCAAAATTCTCTTAAAGGTAGGAACCAAAATTGTTTTCTAACCTCAAATATCCGGGCATAATCCGTGAGCACTCGATCATCGATCGATAATCCCGAAAAGTGGACCAGTCCACCTGTGAGCTGCCCAGAATGTATTGCCTGGTTTTGGATAACATATTGATATATTTGCCGAACGAGGAATCCAGACGATTGGCAATGTCCCGAAGCAATGATGCATTCAGTGTGACTTGTTTGAATTTCATACCATCGATTATCGACTAAATTATGGCGCATTATTGCAAAATTGCAAAAAAAAAGGGATTCTTCCATTTTGAACTGCCATATGGAATTATGTGAATAAAAAAGTTTGGGACTGAGAAGAATGGAGGAGTTGCCAGCTGCATCAGTAACGAGAAGAAACGCAACTGTGAGACTGAAGTTGATCAAATTGTCAAAATAAATTAGCATATCAAAAAAAAAGTTGGAAAACTTTGGCGCTTCGGTCCAAAACGAATTTGTTGAGATGAATCCTCATGATTCAAGGTTTGCCTTTGCTGCAAAAACGCACCCAATTCACTTTTCAGAACAACTATTAAAAAGAACCAGAGAGAATTAGACAGTACAAATAGGAATTTCATTTTTTAAAGAAGGTGGATTTATCAGCAACGGAGGTAGCAGGTCAGCGGGAAAATTTCTATTGAAAAAAGGCTAATAAAATGGGAAGGCAGAAAATACAAAAAGTATTAATTGAAAAATCCATAAAAGAAAAAAATTACTGGAAAAGAAAGGGAAATTTAATTTTCTACAAAAAAAAGAGACAATTGAATGGGCAGAAAATACCACAAGGAACGCTAACTGAAAAATATGTAAAAGAAGAAAGTTATTTTATTGAAAAAGAAAGGGAAATTTAAATTTCTATTGAAAAAAAGAGGCAATTAAATGGGCAGGAAATACAAGGAAAATAAGTGAAAAAAATGTAAAAGAAGAAAGTTATTTTATTGGAAAAGAAAGGGAAATTCTTCCTCTTATTATGTTAGGAAAATGAATCTATTACTCGGAAAAAAAAACGGAATGGAAACTTAGCAAAGTCTAAGCAAAAACAACTTCTTTATCTGTTATGTTAACATGCTCCTGGCTTATTTTGTAGGGGAAAACTCGCGAAAAGCCGGCCCAAAAGAAACCGTCACAAAGAAAACTGCATACTGCCTATGGAAAGAAGCCAAGCGAAAGGTGTATTCTGCCTTGAAAAGCAAACGAACACTGATGTGCCGGGCTGACTCGGTAGTATAAAAGTCGGTGGTGTAGTGGGTAACACACTGCGTCCGGACGTAAGGGAGGGTGGTTCGATTCCTTCTGGTCCACGACAATTTTTGACAAGGAGCTCCATTCACGACGTATTTTAGGAGTCACATAAGCCATTTTTTTCCGTGCGAATAAGCAATTTTGCGGGCAAATAAAGTTACTTTTCCTAGCGAATAAGTAT